ACTTCTGAATGGTGGCTCCTACTAAATAGGAGACAGATCTGAAATGCCTGTTTCACACGTATTAGCAGGGCTTGTGTAAAACAGATGACAGATCTGAAATGCCTGTTTCACACGTATTATCAGGACTTGTGTTAAACAGATGACAGATCTGAAATGTTGTTTTTTACACACTTCTGAATGGTGGCTCCTACTAAACAGATGACAGATCTGAAATGCCTGTTTCACACGTATTAGCAGGACTTGTGTTAAACAGATGATAGATCTGAAATGCCTGTTTCACACGTATTAGCAGGGCTTCTGTTAAACAGATGACAGATCTGAAATGCCTGTTTCACACGTATTATCAGGACTTGTGTTAAACAGATGACAGATCTGAAATGTTGTTTTTTACACACTTCTGAATGGTGGCTCCTACTAAACAGATGACAGATCTGAAATGCCTGTTTCACACGTATTATCAGGACTTGTGTTAAACAGATGACAGATCTGAAATGTTGTTTTTTACACACTTCTGAATGGTGGCTCCTACTAAACAGATGACAGATCTGAAATGCCTGTTTCACACGTATTAGCAGGACTTCTGTTAAAATTTCAGTTTTTACAAGTATCAGGTAATATACCCAAAGGTGTAGAGGTCAAGTACGGCCCACTGGTTACCATGTCGGACTGTTAACCTGAGGTTCTGTAGCCTACGTACCATTACTGGGACCATGGATGCATTATAAGAGTGATGGTCAAATCCCACTATTAGGTCTGAAGAAGTAGGCAGTGGGTGGCATTGACTACCTGCCACCTCTCTAGTTTTATCACTTTCAAATTAGGAATGGGTCATTATGGTAACCCTTCTGTATATATTTTATTTTTAAAGTTAAAAATATTGAAGCTAAATCATGAGAAAGAGGCTCATTTGAGACATTATTATTAATTTTTTTTTTATTCCTGTGTGTTTTGAAGTCACTGAGAATTTGATAAGTTTCATCAAAAATAAAGGAGAGAGTAAGAAAAAAAAAAGGCTTAGTTGTGGAAGGAGACACTACCAGCAAAATCAACCAAAGAACTGGTGTTCCCAGGTCAAATAATCAAAATGATAAACACAAATTAACACAAAACGTTTTGGAACATTATAAATAAATAGAAATTTAAAATCGCTATAAAAAGTAATAATAATAATAATAATTAAAAATGAAAATTTTTTACATTTTGGGGCGTTATAAACAAAGACATAAATAAAACTTAAAATAACAATAAAAAATAAAATATTCTGAGCTTATTGACTTTAATCTTGGGGAGTTTTTTTTTTTACTAAAGGAGTGATTAGGAAATCATGTATATTTTAATCTGTAATAACTAAAGACCTTTAACTTAAATTTTAATGAAGCTACAACCTTTGACTGAAGTATAAGATTGGGGGTTGTTGATGACTTTACTGGAGGAGTGATTGTTTGTTTGAAATTAAGCACAAAGCTACACAATGGGCTATCTGTGCTCTGCCCACCACGGGTATCGAAACCCGGATTCTAGCGTTGTGAGTCCGCAGACATACCGCTGTGCCACTGGGGGCCGGAGGAGTGATCCTTTTATGTTTTGATCTGTAATAGATAAACCTTTTGATTGATATCCCCTAATGAAAGGAGTGACTTAATTAAATTTAGGGTGTGTACATAGGTGTTAGTATTATATCATCAAAATGTTCTACTCCGTTTTAACTTATGGCACGTTTTGTTACCTTTCAGCTCACTCTCGCCGGTTCAGTCCAATGAAAATACAGAGCTGAAACATGAAGAAGTGTATCGTTTAACCTCTCTACCCACGATAGGTGTTCCTACCATGGAGAGACAGGTACATTATAAGCATACGATGATTAAATATCTCTTACATTGTAATGTGAACGTATATTGGCAGAAAAAGTAACGATTCTTCATGCAACCCCCCCCCCCCCCCAGGGGCTTAATTAATTCTAATAAAGGGAACACCAATAAGAAAATAATTCTTATTTTTATGTTTTCCTCTTTAGTCGCTGCTATCACTCACTAAGCACGACCTTTAGTTTATGCCTTTGATTAGATGACATCGTACTGTGTTGTATTAGGAGTAATATAGGGGGAATAGGAATGGGTAGTTGTGTAGTATATCGAGCCAACATTTGGCAATAATATCCAGAAGATACAGGTAAGTCAGATTTTTCTCATCAGAATTATGACTGAGTGATAATAAAAAGGATACTTATCTATTTTTATGCACTGGTTTTTTTTTCTATATATTACAAGTTGTTAATCTAACTGATTTTTACCAATAATTATTCTATGAATACGTCACGATTTAATTTCATGAATGATCTTAATTTTGATTGGCTCACAGAGGAATTTTAAAGACGTTTCACTGGTTCCTCTGCACTTTTCTACCCTTTGTTGGTCGGGCTTGATTTTGCAAAATTTATTAACTTCAGTTAGGGTATACTATGGGGTGGGGGTGGTAGTAATTGCCTCATCAATTTTTATGGGCTATATTACTAGTTATATATATAATACACACACACACACACAGTTTTCAAATAGACATTAAATGAAAGTTTTGGAATAGTCAGACACCGATAACTTTAACTGTCATGTAAGGAGAAAAGAACAGATTAGTTTTGACAGTGGATTTACAATTTCACGTTAATTGTGCATTTGCAGTTTTAAGATCTGTTTATCAAGTAAGATCTAGTCGGTAGTTTATCTAATAACCTTATCAATTATTTGCAAACCTCTGTGTATAAACGTGTCTCCTTACAACAGGCAAACTCCTGTATCGATTGTCACAATACTCTTGGGGTCTCCCGAGGAATGACATAAGAGACAAAATTGGATCTGATCCCCCTCATGTCACTCCATGTAACCCTTTTGTCTTCCCCCTGCATTGAATGAGAGCTAGTAATACTTACAGAGAAGTAGGTAACCCCCAAATCTTTTTAAAACCCTAATTCTCAAGTAATTTTTCTCAAACAGTGACGAATTCTTTAGGAATCTTGTTATCCTGAAACACCCAAGTTTATTCAAAAAATGATTGGATTTGGTATGAGAGAATAATAACGAAGTGATGTACGTAACTTGGAGTGAGTTTTTTTACAAACAGGTAGGTTGATTGTTTTATGGTAAGGGGGAAATACTGTTTTAGGTGAATTTGTCATTAGCTCTGAACATCTAATATATATATATATATCTCACTGGATTTGTATTGTTTAAAGCTGTTTTGTTCTCAGTTGTTAATAAAAGATAACCGAAACTAATTGATGTGAATTCAGGATATGATCTTGTTCACCTAACTGTTCTTGAGATCCAGTGTGTGTGATGTAGGATAGATGAGAGTAATTGTGATTAAAAGTATATTTTCTATAAGGTGGTGTAAAATGTCTAAACTGGTAAAGCATTGAGGTTTTTATGTCTTCAGGGTTTGTCCAAACAACATTTCAGATCTATCATCTGAATCACCAATATTTACTAATGTAAAATTACATGACTAACCTCCACTTGTA